GCATTTTCCATGTTGCAAAGGTTATATTTTATTTTCGTAAGTCCGCACATGGCAGCATAGCTTGTGGCTAACCGAACTTAATTATTTTTCGTATGGCCTCCTTGTCGCTTCCTTGCGGCAATGGCTTGGGTCAACCCCTGGTGTTTTTTTGACAAGCAGCTTTCACGCTTCTGTACGTTTGCATTCCATTCGTTCAAAAAACATATGACATGCTTAAGGCTTATTCTTCACGCTCGTTTTTCACTTAATTCGTAATTAAATCCTTATGCTGATGTCAGTATATGTTTATAGAGCGGAAATGGAGTTAATCTCAACAAAGTCTGCTATCCCGGTGATTGTTTTATTACCTAATAGGTGCAGTGATTTTATATGATAAACTTGATGACGATGATAACCGTTTCCAGTGTTTGTTCTTAATTTAATCTTGTATTAAAATTCAGCTAACAGTTCGTTTTGATTTCAGTCAACAGATCAGAGGGGTCAAGGAGAAATGCAACACAACCCGCATATATCAGAGGCAGCTCTGTCTTGTACCTCGCATGCTCTGGTATGACCTCATTAGATCTTGTTGCTCACAGTTGACTCATCTCGTAGTTGACTATCTAGTGCAATATTCAGCATGCAAGGTGTAAAGCTAAAGATCGCCAACCAAAAAATTGTCTCGTTTTATTTTGTGTAATTGTGAAGATGTATCTATCACTCTTTAATTCTATTCACATATTTATTTCCGGGTGACGCCTTGTATTGATTCGGTCATCTGCTGAAGCGAATAATAGTCGTAAGATGTAGGTATCAGACACCAGTACTGTTTTCATTGTTTTGGCTTTGTCATCTCATGCCAACGGGTCTCGGACAATGAAGTAACGAAAACTGATCGTTAAAAGTGGTTGTCTGACCCATCAGAGCGTCGTGCTGCCCATACCTCGGCAGGTCAGTGATAACAATCCGTTTCGCAGCTGGTTGCGTGGATAAACAGTCGGTTGAATTCATTGCACAGTGGAGATGTCACTTAATAATGCAGTTTAAAACCGACTTGTAAAACTGGCATGTGGAAGTTCTGGAAGGTTTGCAATGTTCTTAGCGGCGAAACTGTCATCGTGTTTCAGAAGGACATTTATTTATTGGTGCATGCTCTTACTGTTACCCTCTGAACAACCGAAAATTATACCCTAAACTCTAAAACTATTCGTAAACTGGGGACTACGCAATGTAGCATGGAAAGGTGTATGTTGGGACGGCAAATAAACGGGTAAGAGCATAAAAATTCTTTCTGTACGGCTACTGTCTGCTATTCTACTAGGTTATTAGTCTCAGACCGTCTGCGTTCTAGAAACTCATCGAAATTGATATCTTGAATTATCACTAATAGAAAATTATTTGATTATTAATTCGAATTAAATCTAAGAAAGCCCGCACTTACGCAGGTGAAGATTCGCGCATGCTGCCATTGAGGGTCACTTCATAAGGTTGTCCGTCGCCTGATTTGTGCTACGTGCAAGGTTAAAAGATGGTGTGTAAATATGTAATCAGATTTTACCGCAAACTAAATTAGGTTTTTGCACTTAAATTTATCGCTTACTTTTACTATGATCGTACTGTAGCTAATTCACAGCCCATCTGACTGTGCGCGACAGGGTAGGAATTTTCGTGTGGTCTCAGGTACTGTACAGGTACGGTGTCCGCAGTTCACAGCAATATGAAAAATGTTC